GGAGCAGCCAGATCTCTCTTTTACTGTAATTGGGTTAGTCTTGTGGGTTTGCCCTCCGCCTGGCTGTCAAAAGAGATTATACAGAAATGTACTGCTGCATAAACCACAGTTCAGGTACAGGCTGAGGCCAAAGCAGGAGGAAATTTCCAAATGCATTCATTAATCACCCCAAATGCCATGTTGCTTGCTGCTGGCTGCTCTGCTTTCTCCCAGCTGCGATCACTTTTCCTCCAACCGGAGCTCAGAGGCCTGCCTGTAAACTGCAACGCCCTCAGCAGGGACCTGGGTGCAAACACAGGGACGGTGGGAGTTGAGGCAAAGTGCCCCAGAAGCCTTGTGAGGGCCTGTGCTCACCCTGCAAGTGTCCCCATGCCTAAGAGACCATGACATTAAATGGCAAATTTTAAAACACAGGAGAAGTCAAGAGGGAGACCGCAGAAGAAAGAGAAAAGCTTTTCCCCTGCTTTTTGAACAAGGGGCCCTGCATTCTCATTTTGCACTGGGCCCCACAAATTATATAGCCAGCCCTGCCCCCAGTCTTTTCAGGCGGCTATTGCAAGCACACACTGGGTGGCTTAAGAACAGAAATTTCTTTTTTTTCTCAATATAGTTTAATTTTAGCACTTTGACATGATTTTACAAATGACAGTTATATTTATTTATGGTTTATTACAAACCCACTGAACAGTCTGGAAGGTACTGAGTCAGAGAACAAGATGAAGAAAAGTGGTTAAATAGCAGAAATTAGGAGTGAGTACAATTTTAACTTTTTATTTATGTAGAAAACAGTCATTTTCTTTGCTTTTTGATTTTGTTGAGTGGTTTTTGGCCTGTTCTTTTTGAAATTTTTCTTTTTCTGGCTGATACTTTTCAAAAACATCTCAGAACAACAGAAATTTCTACCTCATGGTTCTAGAGGCTAGACGTCTAGGATTAGGGTGCTAGCACGGCCAAGTGAGGGCCCCCTTCTGTGGAGTTGCTGACTTCTCATTGTATCCTCTCATGGCAAAGAGGGCAGGGGTCTCTTTTAAAAGCGCACTAATCCCATTCATGGGGGCTCCACCCTCAAGACTTAAGCACCTGCCAAAAGCCCCGCCTCCTAATACCATCACCTTTGGGGGCTGGAATTTCAAGATACAAATTTGTGGAGACACAAACACTCCGACCACAGCAAGCAGTTTCTAAACTCTAATGAGCAAAAGCACAACACCTGTTTCCTTAGATGCCCATAGGTGCCTATGAAAATGAAGCCTCTGGTGGAGGCCAGTATTGGGCAGGCATGGTACCAGGAAACCCAGCCCGTGGGACTTCTTGCATCAGTGCCTGAGGGGATCTGCAGAGTCAGGTCTGTGACAACTTCTGACAGTCCACCACAGTGGTCCTCCAACCTCAATGAGCCAAAAATGACCTAGAGAGTGTGTTAAAAATGCAAATTCTCAGGCTTCAGCCCCAGAGATTCTGAGTCAGTAGGTCCAGGTGGAGCCTGAGATTTTGCACTTCTAACATGCTCCAAGTGATGCCAAGGCCACAAGTCTGTGGTCCACACTTTGAGGCACGCTGGTAACCCCTTCACTTCACAGATGAGGCAACAGAGACCAGGTGCCTTGTCCAATGGCACACCATTGTCAAGGATAGGCACGCACCATGGCCCCCTGATCTGCTCACTCCAGCAGCACCATTGCCCCATTTTGGTTGTCATGAAATCTGAGGAAGAAAGGTGTGAGTTAGGACCATGCTCAGAAAGTTGTCATTATTGAGGAGGAAGAATCTACTATACCCCTCAAGGTCCTTCTAGCTGAACTAAGAGTCAAATTGACATGAAACAGATTAACAAGAGAAAATCAAATCTAATAGCATATGTACAGGAATCCACACAGACATGGAAATATGAAAGACAGTGAGGCAACATGATTCTTATATGAGCTAAGGAGAAAGTGGGGTCTGAGGATACAAAGGGAGGAGAGACCCTTAGCAGGAGATGTTTGGAAAACAAAGGTTGCCCTATTATGCTGGTAAGTTTCTTAGGTAAAGGGGAATATCTGTTAAAAGCTCTTTTCCTGGTTGCAGGCAGTTGGGGCGGGGGCGGGTAAAGAGCTTTTCCTGAATCTGCTGGGTTTGGATTGCTTTTAACTCAAAATAATACTCATTCCAAAGTGGTCCATCTTAGGGAGGCTTGCCCCTGGCTCCCATACCATGAAAGCTTATTGTTCTTTCATGTTCTAGAACATGAAAAAAACATGTTCATTCAGTGTTCTAGGAACTGAATAAAATCCTCCTTGCTTCTCCTTTTTGCCTCTAAGGCAAGGCAAGTGGCACTGAGGAGCAAAAAGATAATCTTTCACCTGTTTTGAGCCTCAGTTTCTTTAATGATAGCCAATATTCAGGAAGCATTTACCAGACATTATACATGTATTGATCCTCTCCACAAATTTATGGGATAGATACTATTATTATGACCATTTTACAGGTAAGGAAATTGATACTCAGAGAAGTTTAGGTAATTTGACTAAAGTGACATACCAGGGTGTAGAGGCAGGATTTGAACAGATGTACTCTGACTCCATAGCCCAAACTCCTCATCACTCTGCTCTAAAGAAACTACATCACTGGGAACCAACAGCTCATTTCTGGCTGATTTGCTCGAGGCCTTCCCATTCCTCCTGCTCCCTAAGCCCTCCCATTTTTATGGTCCAGCTAAACCAACAGCTCCCTTTGAAGATTTCCCTCAGATGTGCGGCAGTCTGCTTATTTATGCTCTTCGGGCAGCTTTCTGAGTCAGATCCAATCTACCTGGGCCTCAACCAGTGCTTCTCGAGAGTGCAGTTGTTGGCCTTAGAGTGGCCTGTGCTTTGGTGACCCTTGCTCTGTCCTTTCTCTAGCCATGCTCTTTCCAGGGGGGTGGAGAGTCAGGGGTGGGGCAGGGCAAGGACATGAAGTCCCACTCCTAGGATGTTCTGAGTACCTAGGACCCTGGAATGTGCTGTACAAATGACCTTGAGCCATTCCCAGGGCTTGCTTGGAATTGTCCCCTGGCCTGTACACCCAGGGGAAGCATTGCTCCCATCGGTAGTACCAGCTAAGGAAGTGCATACCTCTAGGTTTGAAGGGTATCCAGGAGTAGGGAGTGGGAATGATAGAACTGACATGAAAACTGGGGTATCTATAGAAATGAACTTGAGGCCCCTCAAGATTCAAGAGGAGAGGAGGTAGGAAGAGAAAATGAATAGGTGACTAGCTGGGAGCCACAGCCGAAGGCCAACTCTTCCAACAGAGCCATTATCTTAGTTTTCTATTGTTGTGTAAAAAATTACCACAGACTTAGTGATTAAAATGGCACATATCTATTATCTTACAATTTCTGTGCGTTAGAAATCTGGGCAGGGCTTAGATGGGTCCTCTGTTTCAGGATCTATCACAAGGTGTTGTCCAGGGCTGGAGGGTCATCTGAAGGCTTGATTGGGGAAGGATCTGCTTCTAAGCTCAGACTACTGTTGGCAGAATTTTAGTTCCTCAAGGGTCACTGGACTGCAAACCTTGGCTCCTTACTGACTGTTAACTGGCAGCCACCCACATTGCACTTGTCATGTAGGCCTCTCCTACCTGGCAACTTTCTTCATCAAAGCCAGGAAGGGAGAGTCTACTAGTAAGACAGAAGTCACTATTTTATTTAACCTAACCATGGAAGTGACATCCTATCCTGTTTGCCACATTCAATTGGTTAGAAGCATGTGATGGGTCTTGCCCATACTCAAGAGGAGGGGATTACCCAATCAAGAGATTGGCATGGGGGCATGTGAGAAGATGCCCACTACAGCTATGTCCATACACAGAACTCCAAGGAATAAGAGGGAATTTTGTATTCAAATCTGGCCTTCTCAGGTCATTTGAAGTTATATTTATCAAAGGAATAGAATATAGATAACATTTCAGTCAACAGTGTGTTAGCTTGTGTTACAACTTTTAAATACTTGGATAGTGTAGTGTGCGCCTCTACTGATACTCTCGTCCTGGCCCCATAAATGTTAGGACAAGCCTGTTTATGTGCATATGTCCTGGCCTCCACCTCAGACAGGCAGGGCCTTGTTGGCAAAGTCCTGTCTGCTGACCTTTTGCCCCCAACACAGTCCAGCGCGGCGTTCATAGTGTGGGAAGCGATCAGTAAAGTTTGCCTGGGTATTCACTGGCAGCTGCCCAGGTCCAGTGGTGGCCCTTCTCCGGGTGTTGCCATGAGGCACATGGGCTGATTTTGAAGTCTCAGCAGCAGGGCTTCCTCTTGAGCAAGAGAGGATCCCACATGGCACAGGAAGGAAGGAAGAAGAACAAAAGCCCCCACATCAGCAAGACAAAGCTGACTCCTTCCAGTGGAGCCAAAGCTCTGCCTTTGGATAAAAACATGATTATTAAGTTTTATTTTTTATTGTAAAAATAATGAGTATGGTTTATAGCTTTTAAAAAAATACAAGAAATAAAAGCCATAATTCTACCATGGAAACTCCCTTTGTTTTATGTGTTTGTATGTGTATTCATATATTGTATGAATATACATATTGTATGTATATTTGTATATATGTATATATTTTAATTTTGTGATGTAATATATTAATGTAATTTTGTAGTAATATATTTTAAATTTCCTTCCTCAGAAAATGTTTTCTATGCATAGCTTTTTGTTGTGTTGCTGTTAAATTTGTATATGTTGGGAGTTTAAAAAAAAATCAAAGATCATACTGTCTATTTAATTATATATCTACTCTTTCAGGGCAGTAGATGCTCTTTCCAGATTAAGGAAGTAGAACTTTAACATTTAAAAATAGATAACAGATTCACAAGGTCAAAATGTAGGCAGCGAAAAGTCTCCTTCCCAATCTCCAGCTGACATTCCTGGCGGGAACCAATGTTAACAGTTCCTTCTAGGTCCTTCCAAAGATAGTTTATGCATCTATATAAATATTTTCTTCTTCTTTCCCATCTTCTACATAGTGGGGGCATATCACACGCACTGTTCTGCACTCCGTACATCTTGAAGAAAGTTCAGTATCTTTAAATACCAGTGGTTCTCAATCTTGGCTAAACATTAGAATTATCTAAATAGCCTTTAAAGCTCCCAGATGTGCAAGCCACATCCCAGACCAATTGAATTAGAATCCATGGGAGTGAGGCCTAGGCATCAGGATTTTAAAAAGCTTCTTCAGGTGCAGTCAAGGTTGCATACCACTGGTATAGAAAGAGCTTCCTCGGAAAGGAAGTGGAAGGAAGAGGAAAGAAAGTAATTCCACCATTGCTTATAATAGAAAATTAGGGTGACCATCTGTCCTTGTTTTCCAGGGACTGAAGGTTTCCCAGGACATGGGACTTTCAGTGCCGAACATAGGATGAGCTGCTCAACCTACAAAAAATTGGTGCATATGTTTAAGGAAATAGATGATTAAAAGGGTATCACATAATTTTAAGACTATAGAAAGAGACGTACTTCAATGAAAAGCTGTGCATCATCTATACACACTTCTGGCTGTTTCGTTGTGGCCCTGTTCATTGTCTTTGAGCTATTTTGCACTTCTTTGTTAACTGCAGGTAAATGATTTTCATGCAAATCTGTATTGGTTGGCAGTTTCCTTTAACTTCCTTCCCCCTCTGGAAAAACCAGGGGTTTTTTTTGTTTGTCGTGTTTGTTTTTTTATTTAGAAACTTGAGGTTCATTTAGATCCTCAGAAGTCTTTATTTATTGATTGTTGAAATTATGATACATGTGTGGGTTGCACTAGGATTATTTTTCTAAATCACTGCGTATTTATTTATTTATTTATTTATTTATTTATTTATTTTTAAGTAGGCTCTTCAGCCAACATGGGGCTTGAACTCTGGACCCAGAGATAAAGAGTCACATACCCTAATGAGCCAGCCAGGCAAAACCAGTTTTGCCTCCATTTGTAATTCAACCCCTTGATTTCATTTAAATTTGTGCTCCTTTGACTTTTCCTCTGAACCGGTCACAACACCTGCCTGGTTCTTTAGCTAATAAAGGAGTAAAATAAAATCTTTAACACATGTTCATTCTTGTATCTAAGCAACAATCATGCTTTTCTTTTTTTCTGAAAATTATTTTTTTTTAAATTTTTTTAACGTTTATTTATTTTTGAGACAGAGAGAGACAGAGCATGAACAGGGGAGGGTCACAAGAGAGGGAGACACAGAATCTGAAACAGGCTCCAGGCTCTGAGCGGTCAGCACAGAGCCCGACGTGGGGCTCGAACTCATGAACTGCGAGATCATGACCTGAGCCGAAGTTGGACACTTAACCGACTGAGCCACCCAGGCGCCCCTGAAAATCATTTTTTAACAAGGCTATAAAGGTAACTACTAGAACAGAAATACAACCCTTCCAAATTCTCACTAAAAACACAAACACAAGAATAAAACAAAGACAACAGACCCAAACATAACTGTCATATCAATAAGCATAAAAAGGCCAAATTCAGCCATTAAGAGTGACTCTCATATTAGATTACAAAGTAAAACCTAATGATAAAACAAAATAATTAAGATTGAAAAGGATTAGAAAAGGTGTTTTTATCAAGCAAGTGTAAAGTTTAGCACACATCATGATCTTCATACTAGACTAGGGTGAATTCTGGACAAAAATCATTAAATGAGGTTAAGAGTTATTTAATAGTAAGATTATGAGTCACAAAAAAGATATAACTTACAAATATTGGGGTAAAAATAGCATACATTAATAAAGCAAAAGCTAGAGGAAATACAAGGAGAAATAGGAACCCATCAGTAAGTGAGATTAATTTACCTCTCTTTTAGGCTATGGTCGTAAGGTAAGACCTAAATAACATAATTTTAAAAGTAGAGCTGCCTGATGTATATCGAACTTATAATGTGAAAACTAAAACATTTATTTTATTTTCATGTATCTCTAGAACATTTTCAAAATTAATTGACTCTGCCATAATTAGGTCACAAAAGACTTCAATAAATTCCAAAAGTAATGTAACTGAAGGGGAGAAAACCATCTCTTCCCTTTTTCCCTCCAAGTTGCAATGCATGAGAGTTTCACAAAGACACGAGAGCCAAGGAGGTGGCCAGATGATTGAGGCTTATATACCATCTTCAGCCAAATAAGGTGTCACCAGCTAGATCCCACGATGTGCCCATTACTGCCCACCTGCTTATACTTACTACACTTTGTCTTACATTTCTCCTTAAGCTCTTCCTTCTGGCTTATCTCTTAACTCAGGCAAGTAAAACCCCAAATTCTCACCTCCCCACATCCAACCCCCACACCACACAATTCACCCAGACCGTTTGAGCTAAAACCCTGACTTGTGCCTGTACAGACAGACTGTGAAATGAGCGACAATTACCTTTAACCCCATCATAATACTAAAATCTCTGCTCAAGGAGGAGCATAAGCCTCACCGACATGACACAGAAAGTGTGTGTAGAGGCGTGTTTCCTGAAGGCACATACATGACTTTGTGCCCTCCTCTACATATGAAAACAGAACTTCCTTATCTCAAAATTCATCCTAAGCCTACACAAAAGGTACCCATTCACCCTCTCAGCAATCACAGCTTTGGAAGCTATTTCCCTTGATCTCCTGATTTGCTGCAAATAAAATTTGCAGTTTGGAGTGTGTGACAACTCCACCTGGTATATCTGTGACTTATCAAGGAGTGAACTCGTGTTGGTCTGGTTACAAAGGGAAAAGAGGTCCAGGGTTTGGGGGTAGGAGAGGCAAGTTATGGGAAAGCAAGGGACACACAAGGTAAGTAACATTGTTGTGTTATGTGGTTAATGGTGAGGGAGCATGAGGCAAGCTGGGGGCAAAATACAGGATGGCACACACACCCTTCATCCCTCCTGCCAGGTGGAGTATGTGTGATATTCCTCGGATACTCCTGGCCACACAAGAACAAAGGAAAGGGGTTTAAGCGCTTGCCATGGTAATGTGGGAAACTAAAGCAAATGAAAAATTAAATTCCTTTACTGCCTGTAATCCATTGACAAGTCCTTGAGACTGGCAGAGCGACTTCCCTCCATCAGCTCAGCTGCCTCAAGGATGATACTTTGCTAGGGGCAAAAGAGAACCTTGGTTTAACATTATCCCAACCTCCAGGGTCCTGTAAATCAACTTCCTTTATCTCAACTGCCCCAAGATATATGCTGGCAATCATACTCCAAGCTTATGGCCCCCTGATATACATCTGAAGGGTCTCATGACTGAGGTTTTACTAAACAGTAATAAACGGCACTACCTTAGCAATAGCTCGCCCCTCAAGGTCCTGGAAACCTTGCTTCCAAAATTCCTTAGAGACTTACTCGATCCCTGACCCCCTGCCAAACTGAGGGTGTATAATGAGTTACCTGTCATGACACCAGTGCAGCTCTTCCTGACCACAGGTCCTGTCCCCATGCTTTAATAAAATCACCATTTTTGCACCAAAGACATCTTCAAGAATTCTTTCTTGGCTGTTGGCTCCAGACCCCACGAACCCCCCATCATCCCCAGACTTCATCAGTTAAGGGTTTCCCAAGTCAAAAGAGGTGTCTCCAGGGACGCCTGGGTGACTCAGTCAGTTAGCGTCCAACTCTTGGTTTCGGCTCAGGTCATGATCTCATGTTTCATGAGTTCGAGCCTGCTTGGGATTTTCCCTCTCCCTCTCTCTCTCTGCCCCTCCCTCACTCTCTCTGTCTCTCTCAAAATAAATAAACTTAAAAAATCTTTTAAAAAGAATTTATTGAAAATTTCAATAAATTCCAAAAAGAATAATAGATATCATTCTTTAATCATAATGTAATAAAATTAGAAATTAATAATAGAACCAGAAAATAAAAAGACCTTACTGTTTGAATACTTACAACTCCCCCTGGGTTCAAAAAGGGAAAAGAGGAAAAAAAGAAGAAACTGTAGAATATCTAGACAATAATGTTAATAAAAACTGCATATATCAAAATCCATAGCTAAACCAGTTCTCAGAGAGAAAATACACATTCAAAAATATTTATTAGTAAAAACAAAAATAAAGTAAGTAAATTAAACATAAAACTCAAGAAAGTTGGGGAATGGGGAATTATTCCTAAGAAAAGCAAAGGAAGAAATTAATAGAGAAGAAATAGGGGCACCTAGGTGGCTTAGTCAGTTGAGCATCTCTTGATTTCAGTTCAGGTCATGATCTTGTGGTCATGAGATCGAACCCTGTGTTGGGCTCCACACTAAGCATGGAGCCTACTTAACATTCTCTCTCTCTCTCTCTCTCTCTCTCCCTCTCTCTCTCTCCCTCTCTTGCTCTGCCCTTCTTCCCCACTGGCACTCTCTGTCTAAAATAAAAAGAAAAACAAAAATACTTTAATGAAGGAGAAATAAATGAATTCGAATATATACAAATTGTGGCACTAATAAGTAAATCAATTAGCTGATTCTTTGAAAAGGCTAAGAAAGAATGGGAGGAAGAAAACAAGAAAAAGAAAAAATATCACCAAAGAAAAACAAAGGAGATAAACAATTCACAGAAAAGAATATATAGAAGGTTCTTAAACATACAGCAGGATGTTAAAAAATTGGAACCTTCCTAGAGTGCTGGTTGAAATGTAAACTGTTATGATCACTGTGGAAAACAGTGTGGCAGCCCCTCAAAGGTTAAACCTAGTGTTACCAACAGACCTAGCAATTCCACTCCTGGGTATATATAGCCAAGAGAATGGAAAACATATATTCACACAAAAACCTGTACCTAAATGTTCACGGCAGCATTATTTATAATAGTCCCAAAGTGGAAACAATCCAAATGTCCACCAATAGATACATGGATAAGCAAAATGTGTTATATAATGAAATATTACTAGGCGATAAAAAGGAATGAAGTACTTATACTTGACATGGATGAGCCTGGCAATTATGAAGCCAAATGAAAGAAGCAGAAAGGCCGAAAGTAACGTAGTGGTTGCCTAGGACCAGGCAGTGAAAACTGGGGAGTGATTGTAACGGGCATGAAGGCTTTTTAGAGGTGATGAAAATGTTCTACAGTTGATCGTGATGATGGTTGCACAACTCTGTGAAATACCAAAAACCAGTGAATTGTACACTTGAAATGAGTTAATTGTATGGTAGGTAAATTATATCTCGAGCTATTATTTAAAGAAATAAAACTATGTGAGATAGCATTTTAAATATATTTTATCTTATTTTTTATCTTATTTTTTTAAAGTTTACTTATTTTGAGAGTGAGAGTAAGACGCAGAAGAGGGGTAGAGAGAGACAGGGGGAGAGAGAATCACACAGAGACAATCTGTCAGCACAGAGCTCAGTGTGGGGCTCAAACCCACAAACCGTGAGATCGTGACCTGAGCTGCAACCAAGAGTCGGACACTTAACCGACTGAGCCACCCAGGCGCCCTGAGATAGCATTTTTTAATAGTTCAGAAACCCCCCACCTTTTTGTGTTCAGAGAAACGGCTAACGGGTGTTCGTTTAAGCAGCACAAATGCTAAAACTGGAACAATACCAGAGAAAAGACTAACCCCAAAAGATCACCTCAGGCTCATATATGCAAGATAAGACCTGCCTCTACTCTTCTGCAATGACCATCTTGCTTTAGAAAACTACAAGTTCTCTTCCTCCTCCTTGAGGCTTTCCTCATTAATGAATGCTTTTCCTATTGCACTAGCCTGAATAAAATGATCTCCTTAATTGCTGGGTATATTTTGTCCTGGATGTTATTTAGACATAGGGTGCTCTTTGCTCTGATCTCTTTGGTTTGATTTTGTAAGCTACATAATTAACGTGTCAGTGGTCTTACCTTGGAATTATGAATCTGAACAAAGTGGTGCACCTATTTGAGTTTTGATAGTATGCGAAGTACATCACAGCCTAGTCTGGCACAGTTTACCTGTTTCGTTAGTCAAGATATGCTTGACAAATTGCGGTTTCTGTTCCAATTCCCATTCTTCAGCACTTACCTGGTCCCTGGTAGGTACTCAATAAATATTTGCTGGGGGCGCCTGGGTGGCGCAGTCGGTTAAGCGTCCGACTTCAACCAGGTCACGATCTCGCGGTCCGTGAGTTCGAGCCCCACATCGGGCTCTGGGCTGATGGCTCAGAGCCTGGAGCCTGTTTCCGATTCTGTGTCTCCCTCTCTCTCTGCCCCTCTCCCGTTCATGCTCTGTCTCTCTCTGTCCCAAAAATAAATAAACGTTGAAAAAAAAATTTAAAAAAAATGCATATTTGCTGAATGATTTTAAAAAATCAACATATTATAGGCAGGGGGGCAAAAATAGCACAACTTCTTTGATGGTTTTAGTCTGGCAAAATCTATTGAAAAATACAAATGCACACCCCCTTGACCTAGCAATTCTACTTCTAGGAATAAATCCTACAGATAACTCGCACATGTGCAAAGGGCCACTTAATAAAATGATTCTTTGCAATCACAAGAGACCACTAGGTTCCTAAATTTCTATCAGTAAGCTTAATTAAAACTGGTACATACACACAATGGAATAAAATGCAGATGTTAAAAAAAAAATTAGGAAGTTCTCATGATACAGAGTATCTCTGAGATCTATCTACTCAGTTCCAGCTACAATGCTTGCTTTGTTGCTCCTCATAAAGAGTACTGTCTGGGGGGTGCCTGGGTGGCGCAGTCGGTTAAGCGTCCGACTTCAGCCAGGTCACGATCTCGCGGTCCGGGAGTTCGAGCCCCGCGTCGGGCTCTGGGCTGATGGCTCAGAGCCTGGAGCCTGTTTCCGATTCTGTGTCTCCCTCTCTCTCTGCCCCTCGCCCGTTCATGCTCTGTCTCTCTCTGTCCCAAAAATAAATAAGCGTTGAAAAAAAAAATTAAAAAAAAAAAAAAAAAAGAGTACTGTCTGGTCTCAGGGACTTAGGGCAGGATATTATTTCCACTTTGAATGTTCGATTCCAGATTATATACAGGGCTCACTCCCTCACTCTCTTCAAGGCTCACCTCAAGTACCATTCAACCAGCAAGGCTTTCCCTAACCACTCTATGTAACATAGCAACAATCTCCACCACCGTATACCAACACATACATATACTCCTTATTCCTTTATCCTGTGTTTTTTTTTCCATACCACTTACCACATCACTATATATATATACTTGCTTATTCATTCCCACAAAAATGTAAACTCTATGAAGGCAAAGAATAGATCTATTTTGTTCACTACCAAATTCCAAATGCCTAAAAGAATGGTTGACATATAGTAGGTGCTCACTAAATACTTACTGAATAAATAAATATGTAGAAGTGGAGAAAGTAAGATACTGGGAAGTGATTTTTAACATACTTCTCTTTTTTATTTTATATTTTTAAAGGAGCTTCGACACCCAGCGTGGAGCCCAACAGAGGGCTTGAATTCACAACCCTGAGATCGAGAGTCAGATGCTTAACCGACTAGGCGGCCCAGGTGTCCCACATGTTTCTCTTTTTTTTTTTAACGCCTATCCATGCAAATGGTCCTGTGTGCAGGACGTATCTTTAAAAGGTTACAGAAGAAACAGATCGCGCTGGTTGCCTGCAGGTGGCTGGCAGAGAGTGGGAGGGAGGCTTTTCACTATACTTGTAGATTATTAACTGTCTGAAACTTTAATTTAAACGAAAAAGGAAAGCTCTCATGTCATTTCTTTTTTATAGCTCCACGTCGTGCTGCCGCATGGATGTATGGTAAGTCATTTCATCGGCCCCCTTTCGGTGGACAATTATTTCCAAACTTTTGCTGTTACACACGATGGAGTCTGGATATTTACTTTTCACATGTCCTAACAAATACGATGCTGAGGTCTTTTTATGACCCCCTAACTTGTGTTCTAAGTCTTTGCAGTTGAAAATGTAACCCACACCCCAGACTAAACAAAAGTTTCCTATAGGATTTGATGGCTGGAAGTGGGGCCGCCTCAGGAAGCAGAGGGTCCTGGGAAAGGGAGAAGGTAATTATCTTCATTAAACATTTTTGTATTCTCACTGATAAACTCACCCAATCCCTGAGCCTGTGCACATTCTACTAACTTACCACGATAGGGCCATCTTACAAAAGGGAGGGGGAATAAAACAAAATAAGAAGCTCCTACCCAGATGGCAAGACAGCTCGGTATTCCTAATTCACACAATGGAAAGAAGTCTGAAGTGGAAACTGAGAGTTCTGATTCTGTTACCGAGGAGCTATGTGACCTGGAGAAGTCCCTTCCCCCTCTCTGGGCCTCCATCACCTCATCCGTGGAATGCCCTCCCCTGACAGCTCTGCTCTCCAGGCAGGACCCTGTTTACTCCTTCCCCTTGCACTGATGCTCTAACACTACGCTCAGTGACTCGGGGCAGCCCCCAGATGTAGATCTGACAAGGCCGCCTCTTGACAGTGACCCCGCTAGGCGTTTCATGGACCGGGCTGGCTCTGCACTGCTTTGGGAGGGAAAAGCAAACAGAAAGACAGCTGCCTTTGTTTCCAGAAGTGGTCCTGCACCTACTCAGACTGACAGGTGAGCAGAGGCCCCGTTGAGTCCAAGGGTACAGTGGTGGGAACGCCAGAAACGG